GACCCATTATATCGTGTTAGGAAGATTTCTTGGATGAGTTTCTGGTCACTGGAGTGAGAAGGGTCTGTGAATTCTGGCCCTAAAACAAAATGAATTTGTTCCTGGGGTGCCTCAAGGTCTGGTCCATTCAGGTCCTCAAAGCAGAATTTCTGAGAACTTTCGCTGGAATGTCCCCAAATTTCAAGATTCCAAACAGTTAACCAATACATTTTACTTTTTCGCGGTCTCTGAGGCTCTGAGAAACTGACCAAGGCTGTAGATATTGTTCACAGTGAGACGCTCACACACACATTTTACACTCAATTCTAGATGGTGCATAGACTTGCTGAATCCCTGGCGTTGACCGTAGACTCTGCAACTTTTCCCTATGGGCTGTCCTTGAAACAGATCCCTCGCAACTTAAAAGTGTGAATTGATGAAGCCTTGCACTGTGGTTAGTGGGGATAGGTTGTGTTTAGAAATATTAAGTTGCAGGAGTCATAGATAGAATTTACCCTGGAGTTTTATATGTCCTCAGTGGGCATGATGAATGAATGAGTGAATAGGTTCAATATATAATTGCTGGCTGTTTGATATTAGTGACTCTGGGAATGCTGGGAGATATCAAAGGAGATCCTAAGAGTCTTACATTCTTTGTCTTAGGACCAGGGGCTTCAGACCTACCTAACTCTCCTAACTACTGGAAACACAGCCGGCCATCTGCAAGCCGGGGGCTTGGCGATGAGAGGGGCAGGCAGAGCATTCTGAGGATATGGAACTGATAAACAGAGGCACGGGAGAAATGGAAGGGAAACAATATATTTTAGCAACCTGCATGTTCCAGGAGCCAGGGGTCGTTAGTTCCTGAGTGTGTGTGTGTGTGTTTATTGGAATAGCATTAAACTTTTAGAGTCATTTGGGCAAGAATTAACATCTTTATAATATTGAATCTTTTTTCAATCTGTTTTCTTAACATCCTCAAAGAAGGAGAGTTGAAGATGGATAGACAAAAAACAAACAAATAAAAGCCCCCACAACCTCAGTCTTGGAAGTCAGGCGCTAGCAATAGCTCTATCAGAAACGACAGCTATGACTGTAGTCTCTGGAAATCCACTTGACCTTTCTGGTTCTCATTTCTTGTTTCTCTCTATTTCTCATGGCACTAAAATTCTCCTACTCTATAATCTTCCTTAGTTTTTGAACTGATTTTCTACATTCAGATAGACAGATTTGTGTCTGTACACAAACACACACCCTTTTTCTTAGATCATTTTTGAGAGTCTGATAGTTAGACTGGAGAGTAAGAAACTGGTATTTTAACTATGACTCTAATCCCTAAATGACGTAATTTCAGCAGGCATGTTCATACTGCCCAACCACAGTGCCTGACATTTCCACCGTTAGGATTAGGGACTGTTTCCAGAAAAAGGCCCCACTCAAATATCTTGCCTGGGTAATGACGATGTGACTAATTGGACTATAAAATGGAGAAAATCAATTTACAGGATTAGCAGAGATTAACATTCACAAACCCCTTGCACTCTAGAGAGAGAATCCATGCATGGAATTGGCATAGAGTGTGAGGAGTGCTCCAGAGAATGAGAAGAAGGGTCAACATTACTGGGGAAAGGTGAGGTCTGGAACATTCCACGCAGCATGGCAAGTCCTGCAGGAGGAGGGTGTGTGAGCGTTACAAAGGGCATGTGGGCAGTCTCCTTTACAAATCTGCCCCGGGCTTCGTTCCTACAACCAGTCAAGAAGTTCAGCACTGTCCACCTATTAATTAACACCCCAGCCACAGCCAATCTCTTAAAGTTTGGGAACTTCAGTTTCTTCACGTGTAAAATTGGCTATTATGGTAAGAAAGAGGGCACAACAAGAGAGTGCTGAGGATTCGGAGAAGTGAGCTGTGTAGAAGACCCAGTTTTTCACAAGTGGTGGATAAATGTTCCTTTCCTTCTTTTGGGGATCGTCCCCTCTGTTCCTCCTGGGCCGTCTTTTCTCTACCTGGGTACCACCATCCAACAGTGAGCTCCTTCTTTGTCAGCCTGCCGCACTCCGCCAGCTGGGACTTCTGCTGGTTCTGTATCTAGCACCCTGAACGATGCCTGCCTGGTACACTGTTCAAAAATATTTTCAAAACGTCTGCTGGATGAACGACCATGATTGTGAGAATGTTGTCTTTCACGCTGTGACCTTCCTTCGGATGGCACCGACTTTGGTTGACTTTTCTTGCACTTCCCTGTCTTGAATTAATGAGGCTTTTGGAAGATGTTCCTCGATGGGGAGATAGAGAAAAATTGGTTTTGTTAGAAAGATGGCCAAACCTAGAGGAATTTTCTGCCGAGCGACAGGCTGGGCCCAAGTCACCGTCAGTGGGCAGCAGACGGCTTTGTGCCGGTGTGGTGTCCAGCAGACGAGGCTGGGGAAGGGCTGGGGCACCGGCGCAGGCAAGCAGACATGCCGAATACCGATATTTTTGTGTCCTTCTTTGCACTCACCTATAAATCCTTTGCCAGCGAGATCTGCTGCTTTTGAGTGAGAATAAAGTTATTTTCAAGTACAGATAAAAAAAGGAAAAAGACATTCTCAGAGCAAGGTTCCTAGTGGAGTCAATAGTTGACTTGCCTCCGAATATCCTAAGATGTTAGTGCAAAATGTGAATTTCTCTGACTTCCTGAATCTGAAGACGGCAGGGCTGGGCATCTGCGTTGTTCAGCAAGCTACCAGGTGATTCTGGCGCATTCTCAGGTTTGAGGACCACCTCACCTGGTGAGTGGTCGCTAACTTTTTATCATGAAGCCCCAATGCGTGTATGTTTGCTTGTTTATTTATAAAATATATACATAGGTGACTATTCTAGTGTGTATTTTATAAAACATTCACAAAGATAGAAATTTTAAAAGGATAAAAAAACATCTATGCGAAAGTTCCTATGTGAACGACCCATGCCACATTCTGGATGAGAGGACAAGGCTAATTGAAGCAGAGGAAATGTTACTGACCGATCGTCGGGGTGATTGTGACGCACCACATCCATTTTCTTAAGCTTATGGCCCCACACCAATGGGCACGTGGGAGCATGAGCGTTTGTAGAGGTTTTCTTTCTGCTTCAATAGTGTCCCTGGAATTCTCTGTCTCTCTACCTCCCCACAAAATTCGCATTTGGTGTATTCAAGAAAGTTGTCATATTTACCCCCTTCCCCAGCCTGATGCCCCCAGTGCAACTTCCGGATGGGAAACTGAGTGTGGACTGGCCAGAATGTTGGCATCGTAGAGCCTGGCAATGCCCAGAAACGCACACACGTGCACACACACACCCCTGGGACTGTTTCAAGACTGAACAAGTTGCGCAAACGTCTACTATGAAACTCTGCCTACAAAAAACTTTAAATTCATTTAGACTCTCAATCTGGCTTTTAAACTTTCTAGGGTCATGGGTCTCTGAGAATCTAATGAAATCTATGAACTTTCTCTCTGGGGCAGGAAAAAATACTCATCTGACCATATATACCATTTCAAAGGGGGTGAAAACCTGTGGCGTTCTCCAAGTGTGGATTCTGAGCCAGCAGCATCAGGATTTCCTGGGAACTTACCAGAAATGCCCCACACCCAAGCCTACTGAATAAGAAAGTTTGGGGTGGGAAAAAGCCCTCCAGGTATTTTTGATGAATACACAAGTTTGAGAACTCTCCAGAGCCATGGTTCTCAGAGCTGCCTCCTTAGCAGAATCACCTGAGTTAAAAACAAGAAGCACTGGTGCCTGAGCCCCGTCTCCTTTAATTAAATCAGTATCTGGAGGTGGGGCCCAACACGCGGATTTTTAAAAGCTCTCCAAAGGAGCTAAGCTCTGTGGACGCAGATTTTAATAACCCAGGCTACCTCTGCCAATCCCAGTTAGAGCATGATAGCACCAGGGAGAACTGAGCACCAGCCTGACTCATCACTGTCATTTACAGGCGAGGAACCTGAGGCCTGGAGAATGAGAAGCTTTTCCAGCACCACACAGTTACTAAGTCAGCCTCCAGTTCTGCGTCTTTCTCTGCTCCAGGAAGTGCTGCACACTGAAACAGTGAGCCCCAAACATTCCCGAAGAAGCCAGGAAAGTGAAGACACGTGCTTGAAAGTAGCCTAGATCCGGCATTCGTAGCCGCACACCATCGCCAGCAACTCCCAGTGGTTTTCCCTCTTTGGCCCAATGTTTGCAGTGCCTGCTGCTCATTTTCACTGAACTCGGCCCATGGAGCTTTCTTGAGAATGAGCTGAACCTTTGCCTGGAAGGCAGCAGAGCTGCAGTGGGACAGTCTTTGTGTTGACACGCGGGGTGACATGGCAGGAGCCTGGCGGGGCGGGGGGGAGAGGAGGGAAGTCCAGGCTCTGGACAGGTGTCCTGGGTTTCATGCCAGCTCTGCCACCAGCTCTCTCTGTGACCTTGGGCTTCTTGCTCAACCTCTTCCTGCCTCAGTTCCCTCACTTCTCCAGTAAGGGTCATAATAATAGCACAAGCACCCTTGAGGGTTGTGACTGTTACAGGGGTTTGACGCATGTGGAGACTGATGGCCACATCAGAGTGCGTGCTCCGCGAGTGTCAGCTCTCCACGGGGGCAGGCACAGGTGACAGGGAAGCCCGTGGCTCCCGCAGGAGAGGCGGGAGCTTAGAAAACTGCCTTTTCTTTTCTTCTTTTTTTAACCCTGAGGATTATAGAAATCTGCGTCTGCATTCTGGCTTCCTCCACACAATGATTTATTTAATATCAAATCATTATGTAGAAATAATAAGCATAGGTGTGAGCACCTGGGGAGACTGTATGGTCGTCTTTATGTTGGCGCTTTGCAAGATGATATAAAAATACTAACTTTGGGGTGGGCCCAGTGGCATAGCTGTTAAGTTCATGTGCTCCACTTCAGCAGCCCTAGGTTCACAGGTTTGGATCCTGGGCACAGACCTCATCGCTCGTCGAAGCGTAATACATAAAATAGAGGAAGATGGCACAGGTGTTCGCTCAGGGCCAATCTTCCTTGCACACACACAATAATAATACTAATTTTCATTATAATATTTTAATTGATAGTTTTCAGGTTGGCATGGACTAATAAACAGTATAAATTGACACGACATAGAATTTTAGTGCTTTCGGGTCTGTAGATGAACTTTGAGCGTAGTGAAGCAGGTCTTCCCCGATGCTGGTGAAAGCAGGCGTGAGGTGTGTGTAGCACAGCGGCTGAGTGTGACCTCTCACCCTCAGATGAGTTTGGATCCTGGACTTCCCATTGGCTGTTTATGGGGCCCCTTATGGGGCCCTGGGAAAGTTATTTATTTTTTCTAAGCCTCAGTTTACTCTTATGTGAAATGTTCTGAGCATCGTTTCTAAATCATAGAGTTGTGTCAAATAAAAACAAACCTGGACTTCGATAAGGAGAAACTTTATTCGAAAAGACCATCGCGAACAGGAGAGTCTCCAATCTCAGGAATCTGCAGGTAGCTCAGAACCAAACAGAAAAGGCTTTTCTTTTATGGGGAGGGGTAAGGAGATCTCAGCAGCCATGGGAGTTGGGCAAGCAGGGAGCGTGATGGCCGGGGTCTGGCGGGAAGCGTGTCTCGCTGTGGTCAGCCATTCCCAGGATACGCTGATAAAGGGAGGCCTTAGAGCCTGCCCAGGCCCAAGGCAGGCAGAGTTCAGGGGCCTGTGGGGACGAGAGAAGCCCCACTTGAGTTTTGTCAAGACAAAGCAGCAGTTAAGAAACGGGCAAGTGTGAGCACTTGGTCTCCTGTTTTGAGGATTAAGTGAAATTACCCATATATATCCCTCACCAAGGTCTCTGGGTAGTAACGACAAATGCTGGGGTGATTTTTTATTACAAATGCTCGATTCTAAAATGTTTGAGAGAAGCTTTTTCTTTCTCTTGAGCAGAATAATTTAGTCACATACCACTGATAATCTCCCATCCACTGAGCATTTACTATGGTCCAGGCCCAGTGCTGGGAAGAGGCACAGACGTTGGTGAGAGAGTTCCTGAGCTTAAGGAGTTCTCAGTCCAGCAGGACAGAAGGAAGTGTTATGCGACGTAACGTGAAAGGGGCAACCAGTCTGACATATGAGGGATGTCATGGGAGAACGTGGGGGGTTGTCAGTTAGCTGGGGGAACTATGATGAAGGAAGAACCTGGACAAGATGAGCCCTGAACTGAGTCTTGAAGGAGAAGAAGCAGGGTTTGAAGGAGTGTGTGGGGTGCCAAGGACATCAGGCAGTTACTGGACCCCGGAGTTCTGGGCAGAGCGATGGCTGGGTCTGCAGAGGCCAGTAGGGGCCGGGTGACGGAAGCCACTGAAGGGCAGGACCGTGGTAAGTTGTGTATTTAGGACAGGGATCTAGGGTCACACCTGCAGTTCTGTGTGTACTCGATGCCGACGTGATGTGCCCCGAGACAGGGATTTCAGGAGAAGCATGTGTGAGGGCCTGGGCGAGTTCAGTTGAGAACTGTTGTTGTAAGGTGCCAAGGAGACATTCAAAAACAGCCATTTAGCAGGCAGGGCAGTGGTCCAGGCTGGAGATAAAGATTTCCAGATGCAGCTGGTCTAGGCTAGGGCTCAGGAATCTGTAATTTTAGGACATTTCCTGGGTGATTCTGACCATCAGCCATGTTTGAAAACCAATGGTCCAAAGTGAATTGAAACACTGTGTCCATGCGTCAGTGTGTGTGTTAATGTGTGTGTGTATTTATAGTTCCCCAGTGAGATCTTACATGTCTATCTACCCACCTTTCTTCCTTCTGCCTGTTAAGTGCCAGGTGCAATCTCTGATCTCAGAGCTCTCATTGTAGCAAGGGCAAAATCAGAGCGTGTAACTCTTTGTGCCTTCCATGTGTAGCCCCAGGCGGCCGGCGCTCAGTCGGTGACTGGGAATTACTCTATTGATACGATGAGAAACCCAGGCTTCAGGGGGCCTGTCGGCTCGGCAGGTGCAGAAGTAGCCTGCCTGGCTTGTAACTCCCTCTGAGCTCCCCCTTATTGCACCTCAGACATGTTGGCAAGCCCACTGGCCTCCTCGTTCCACCCCTGGGGGACTTCAGCGTTTCTTGGATGATCGATTTCTTTCAACAGTCCTTTTACAGATGGGGAAGCTGAGACTCAGTACATTTCCCAGCATCCCCAAGCTGGTATGTGGTGAGGTTGGGGTTTGAACTCGGATCAACAGAATGGACTTGATCCATATTAGTGCCTCACTGATAAAACCAAAATTAATGTCATAGTAGAACACTTAGCATTAACAATACCTACTACCTTAATCCTGGGCCATAGGCGGACAAAATTATTACACAAATCAACTTTTTTAAAACACTGATTTTTGTTTGATCAAAGTAAGCATTTGTAAAAAGGTGAAAAATAGGGTGTTCGTTTACTCTTCTGCCTCTCCCTCCCCAAACACACACAATCTTTATTATTGTATTACCTCTGAATTCGGATTTTAATTTAATATACATAAAGAAACCCCAGCAAATGATGGCAGGCTCAAAAGACTATTCACAGGTAATTCAAACACGTTAGCCCCAAAGACACCAAATACAAATTATGTGTGATACATCAGTCATTCTTTTTTCCCATAAATCTTGAAAATAAAAATTGGCTTTAGCTTCTCATTTTTAATGTGCTGTCCCGCTTTGAATTATGTAAAGTTCCCAAAGATATGAACATCTCTATATACACAGAAGCAGGGTAGCAGGACGCATGACTGTACATTTTTCACACTTCAAGAAAAAATTGTGGAAAACTTGCTTTGAACCTGCTCTTCAATTCTCAAAGGAAGCTAATTTGAAAGATTTGTCAATCTAACTTTTTAAGTGGCCAAACTTTTTTATTTGAAAATAACATAAAATTGGAAGTTGGACTAAGCTGCTGGAAAGAAGAAGGAACGGCTCTGCCTTCCCTAAGCTTCGCAGGTAGGAAGCAGGTCGGAACTGACGAGGAAGAAGGGAGTCCGTTTAACCTGTCCTCCATGCCGTGGAGTCACAGCTGCTCACCGCCCGGGTTTAAACGGCCCCATTTCCCTAGAAGGTGGAAAACGGTAATTGATTATGACGTTGTTCTTCTTTTTTTTTCTTCCTCTCCCCTCCCCATCACTCCTGCTGCTTGCTGGGCACCCACTGAATGTTTTCTACACTTTTCTGATTTTGTTTCTGAGCTTTATTCTATTACTTACCTGTGTTTAGGTTATAGGAGTTGAAGCTTGACTTTATTTTGCATCATTTGTCATTAAAAATAATTTTGAGAAGAGGCACAGAGAGCTCCAGGGATGTCTCTAAAGCCACAGCCAGTAAGTAGAGGAGCCTGGAATTGAACCCGGGAGGTTGAACCCGGAGGTCGGGCTCCTTTACCTTGGAGCTATGCTGCCTCCCTGACCTCCATACTCTGAGTAAATAACAAACAGTACAAAGTCCTGAGTCTTCTAATGGCTGAAATGGACACATATTTTCCCCCCCGTTCAGACACTCAGAAACTTGGGAAGTAGGTTTAATATCCACATTCTACAGGCAAAGAGAGAGGTGAGGGCAACTGACTTGGCCAAGACGGCACAGCTGGCAGCCCACCCCCATCTGGTAGCTCGTGTTTGAAGGCACGTTTCCATCTCCCACCTCAGGTGAGGACTGTGCCAGCTCGGGACCCTCTCGGTAAATGCTCCTGCCCGAGTGGGTGGAGGTGGACCTGCACTCTCTGTAGAAGGTAGGCAGGAGGCGGTGGCGTGACAAAGACTCAGGAAGTTAGGCTCTCAGGTCACTCAGGCTAAGTAACTAGGCCAGGGGCCCGTCTTTCCCCAGCGTCCTCCTGGGGCAGGAATGCCGACCAGCTGTGTGAGAGGCGAGCTGCCGACAGGGAAGGAATCCTCCGCAGACTGATTTTTAAAATATGCGGCTCGCATGTGCGCTGAAATATTTAGTAGTGAGGTTTCATGATGTTTGCAAATTACCTTCCAAGGGTTCGGAAAGAGAGTGAGCCAATATTAACAATTTGTGGGTCCAGGTGAAAAATATACAGGTGTTCATTGTATTGTTCTTTTAAATTTTATGTAGATTTGAAGTTTTCCAAATCAAAAGTTAGAGAAGAAAGAAGGAAGGAATGGAAGGAGGAAGAAGAGAATTCTGGTGATGTTCATTCACCCTCTGTGATTCCCCGGTGCTCCTGCACTGGCGACTGTGGGCTCTATCTGCTCTCTTGACTGTCAAGTGATTTATTCATTAAAACCGCTAAAATATGGTATCTGAGTAGATGACTCCCTGAAAAGAGTCAGTGTACCGGCACCTCTGGGTATATCCTTAAATTTATAGATGATCCTCAGATTTAGTAAACTACCTTTTTCTATTTGAAGAGCAGTTGTATTTCCAATAAATCTTGCAACAAAAATTTGCTACCTAACTAAAAAATATAACTGTCTTCTGTGAAAGCAGAAAAAGAAGTCATATCAGTGTTTGAAATAAACTAGCTGACTTAGCAAGCATGAGTTCATTTTGGATGAATTACAAGAGTCAAATGCTCAATGTTCTTAACAACTATCAGAAAAGTAATTTTTATGGATTACTAACTTGTAGTTTTCTTTTCTCCCCAATTGTGTTGAAAGATCCAAAATTTTAAATCCAACACAATAGAATTGAAAATTTATAGAACAAAACCTCAATAGTCAGTGAAATTTATTTGTAATATGTGCATTTTACAGTTGCTTTTTTGGAACTTTTTATTTATATTTTAAAATATATGGTTGTTAAACTTTTTGTGAATAATGTAAGTTAGAAGGAAGGAAAAAAGTCAAAGCTTCTTACCAACAGACAATTGTCATTTAACATTTTGGTTGGATTTCCTTTTGGTCTTTTTTCTATTCACAGTGTTTGTTTTTCTCATTTATATAATTGTATATTCTGTATACAGTTTTTGCATCTTGTTCTTTTTAAATAGCACTCTCACAAGCATTTTCTTTATTATTACAGTTTTGAAAAAAATCCTTTTAAGGTAGGGGAATGAAAACAATGAAAAGAAACTGTGAGAGGACATATGAGAAATTCCAGCCCCTTCCCTTGGTGGAGGACTAGGGAGCTGTGGATGGGAGACAAGGGCGGGACGCAGACTTTCCAGCTGAACACCTCTGCGTATGTCTGTGTGTACACATACACACAAGTTTTGGCCTAAGTGCACATAATGCTTGTTAGAAATTTAAAGAAAATTATCTGAATCATTTAAAATTTGGGCCTAATATTAAGTAGCTAGACCTTTATTTACATTTTTTTTTACATAATTCCCCATTTGGGGAACTCTCGGGTTCTGTTTAATTTTTTTCCTCATACGTCAATCTGTGTTTTAAATAACTGTGTGTGTGTGTGAATAATTGCCTGATCTGTTTTGGTCATTAGTCGAAATAATCACTCTGTCTTACTGTCCACAGGTTATTTTTATTTTTCATATTGCTGTTGATAATTTGCAATCCTATTTGGAGACTAAATCCTCAGTGGTTTCCTTTTTTTCCCCCTCACTAAGAACCATTTCTCTCTTCTCTATCAGAAATCTCATCCAAATATCGGCTTTGCACTGGTATGTTCTGTTCTTTTCCAGGGAAAGGAAAATACCCTGAGGCCTGCTCCAGATTTCACTTGGCAACTTTAGCCCACTGACTAGACCTGTTTAGGAAAGAGCGAGAACATTAGGGGCCAGACCGTGATGTGTTATTGCTGACGATATGTGCATTTAACAGGTGCCCGCTTCCTGGGGACCTTCATAAAGACATTATTATGAACGTCTATAGGTACGTGGAACTCTCTGCCCCCAGAACCACGGTCACCTGTGAAGCTGGTCAGCTTCAGCCTGGGCGCACTAACTTGCACAGAGAGCAGAACTTCTGGGTTCCAGCCACACCATGTCACTGTATCCCTGAGCTGATGCAGGGGGCTGCCTGGGCTTTCCAGCCTGGCTCTGGTTTTCTGTAGCCGCCACCCTCCCCACATTCTCATCCCATTTGCGCTGCGGGCCTGCCTTGACCTCTTGCATGCTGAGAAGAAAGGACAAAGACCTCAGCTTACCCCACAGCATCCACAGCACTGGCAGTCTCCGCACAGGGTCCCCAGGAGGCCGTTGATCACCTGGATGGCGCAGAGAAGCATCTGAATTATTCCTATGACCAGCAAGATGGAGAAGAGGCTCAGATTCCAGGGGACCACGTCGGCAGGCTCTCGGCATTTACTCCACAAGGCTTTGTCACCCAGGTAATCCCTGTCGGGGACGTGGGATAGAAAGGTGACAACTGTAAGAAGTCACAATACCCGAGACTAGAAAGTCAACATAGTGGGTTTTCTTTTGCAATAGTTTCCATCCAAAACATAAGCTCCATAAGAAAAATATTCCATAATGACAACACTTTTACAAACAATACCTAACTTTTCATTGAGTATAGACTATGTGCCAGATCCTGTTCTAAACATCTCACAGATATTCACTCATTTATTTCTCATAGAAGGCTTATGGTTCTTTTTTTCCATTTCACAAATAAGGACATCGAGGTACAGAGAGGTCAGGCAACTTGCCCCTGGGACACACAGCAACTAAGTGACAGAGTGATTTTTGTGAGGTGAGCAAGAAGATGGGTAAGTTTAGTGCCTATTATGGGTCCAGGAAAATGAAGACGCTCCAGGAGTAGAATCTCACACATGTTCACGGCCTTGATCCTACCCATTGTCATTAGATCCTTTGGACTTTTGACAAGTTATCTGTCAAGGCTGCCGGCCATAAACAGTACAATGGTGTCTACAGTTAACAGGAAAGGCTTGATTTTTTTAAGGCCTAATTCTAGCCAAATTGTGAATTTGACTCAACTATATTTTTGTTAACATGCATGGATTCCACACACAAAAAGATTTAATTAATTAAAAGGAAGAAATAATCTGCTACCTTGAAACATATTCTACAAAAACCTTGAAAGAGGAGAAACTGCAATTATTTATAAAATATACGTACTAGGAGTCCGCTGCAATATACAGAGCACTGTGCCTTGAAGGAGAAATGCGAAGGATGCTATCTTTAAGACAAAGACAAAGTAAAGTGGGAAATCCTGTGGGTTATTACGATTCCTCCTCACCTTCTTAGAGCCACAGACTGGCACCTCCCTCTTCCTTTGTGCGTCCTCTGTCCTTTCAAGGCCTCAATGGGAAACGGCATCTGGCTACTAAACTCACATCCACCCTCTTGTTTTCAGATCTTTTTGACGACCCCTGTTTCTGAGGAATTCTCCTGTGCATCAGTGCGCACATTTTAAATACATTGTGTTACAATTTTGACAAATCTCTGAAATGTTGGCAGATGCCCTGGAGGTTCACAGAGCAGAAGGAATAACGGAAAGCCCAAGCATTTTGCTTTTGATTTGTAAGTGAAAGCTTGTTGATAGCATTGGTCCACCTGCCATAAGAACGGGGTTCTCCTGCTTGCTGGCGGTGACTGGTGCACTTGGCTGTATGATGGGAATACCCTCATCTATCAAGTCCCAGGGTTGAGTGAAGATTAATGTTAATCCTAGTCAAGCGCATAGAACAGTGCGCAGCACACAACAAGCACTCCGTGGACGCTGGCGTTGGCATTATTTAACTGAATTGGAGCCCTCTGGTTTGAAGGAAAGAGCCTGAGATTTTGGATTCAGATGGACCTGGGTTTGAGTCCAAGCATTCCTCTCACTATTCCTCCTTCAAGCTACGTTCCACGCCCCCCCCCCCAGCATCAGTTTCTTCATCTGTAAAATGGGCTGACAACAGCCCCACAACTGTGCGAGTTCACTGAGATGACACCCCCCGTGTGTTGTTTTATAAGATGTCTTTTCAGTACTGATAAATTTTAAACACTCATCTTTCTGTTCTGCGCTTTTCCATGTCAGTCCTTTCTATCTTTACAACTTTTAAGCTTGATGATGATAAGAGGTTCTAAAGAGACAATACTTTCCAGGCACAAGTTGTAAAGAAAAGATCCTAAAAGGAAGTAACTGGCAATCCTGAGTTCTTCTTTCCTCGGAAGTTTGTTCAGTGGTGAGACGACAGCACCTCCTGGTGGTGAGATTGTGAAACGCTCCCGGGGGACGCGGATGCCGGGATGGAGTCTGGGCGCCTGGACGTCCTCTCAGGCCACTCCTGCTGCTGCCTCGCCCCCGACAAACCACCATGGAGAGCCTTCCAGGCCCTTCTCTTCCCGCAAACTCGGGTTCTGAGACTCTCAGAGATCCCACAATGATTGCTGCGTCCAGCTCAGGCCCCAGGTGAGAGGGGCCCTAATTTTTCACAGCCCGGCAGTTAATCATGTTTCCACATTCTATGAAGCAAGGAGAGCTCAGGCAGTGTAAACTGACTTAACTGGAGTTTTAAAGCATCCCGTCCCTGCGAAGGGCATTTCCACCTGAGCTGCGGTAACGCCGTCAACGTTGGAACAGAAAGCCACGGGTTTCATGAAACTCACTTCTTGCTGGCGACAGAGGCAGCTGAAGGAAGAGGGGAGCCTGAAGGCCTTGCCTGGCCCACTCGACCTGGCCAACTCGGGGCCACCTCCTCCGGGACCCACTCCCTGATGCTCCTCCTGCCCTCAGCTGGCTTCCGTACCCTTCTGTGCTTCGTGGCACTGTGATCCCTCTGGAATGGAGCACCAGGCCCCTTTGCCATCATCGTCTGTCCATTTGTCCATCTTCGGGACTGAACACCCACAAGGCAGAGACCCTGTCCCCTCTGTCTGTCCCCAGCTCTAGCAGCTTTCATGTGCAGGGTCCTGCCCTTGTGCTGGGCACTGGCTAGCTGCCTTGTGTCACCTTCCCCAATCTCTCAAGGACGTGCTTCTTTACCTGGCCACGCCTGCCATGGAGTAGCCTTCAGGAAGCATTCACAGAGGGAAGGGACGTCCACCACCACACAGATTAAGAAACGGAAGTGCCTGGATTTGATCTTAGTTCTTCTGACTCCAAAGCCAGTGCTCTGAATCATTACACGACTCCCTCTATGTGAGTCATTATATCCCTTTAGGATATTTGAAACATGATTTCTTGTGAAATTCGATTTACACAATACATCTATAATAGTGTGTCATCAAGGTTTACCTACGCCGTGGTAAAGAGATGATTCTCCTTGAAGCTTCACATGGCTGGTTGAAAAGATTGAAATTAAATCATGAAATCATTATAAAGGCATAAGATTTTAGAAGGTTCTAATGTATAATAATAAATTCCATTCATGATAGTGAGTTACATTCATGAAAACGAAGAATGAGGCGGGCGGTACCTGGCAGCCATTGTGCCACAGGCTGTATGCACATCACGTTATTCCACTCTTGCCTGAAGCTGTGAGCTAGGCCTTGCTGTTACCCCATTTCACAGAGGCAGAGCTGAGAGGTCACACCCCTGGTGTGTGACAGAGGTGGTACTGGACCCCAAGTCCAGTCAGGCCAAGGGCAAAGCCAGTTCTTAACATCCGTGGGTGTTTCCTGCTTCCTGAAAGCTGGGAATGTGTGGTCGATCCCATGTGACCCTTTGGATGTGGCTGCCAGCGTGAGGGAACGTGGCTCCTTGCTCATAAGTCATCCTTGAATTGCGGATGCAGATGGTCTTCGCTGAAAGGCCAGGCCGACCGCTGAGCTGTATTTAGCCTGTGTCTTGGCAGGCCAGTGCTCCCCTGGCCACCCACCTCCTTCCTGAGGGAGTGGCGAGGGAGGGTGGCCTGGCTGGGGGGGCCTGTGTTTGGCTGTGTCCCTGGCCCTCCCCACTGCTGCACATCCTTGGCCCTTCCTCCAGCTCTCCCCGCACAGCAGTCCCAGGCCCCTGTAAGCTGCTTCCCTTTCAGCAGCTCAGGGTCAGCAGAGGTGGCTATTGTCTTAGAAAGGAAGACCTTGGATGGGGAAGGTCCTACTTCAAAGAAGCCAAGAGGCTTCGAAATCTCCCAGGTTTCTTTTTCCTTCTGGGATGTCTCCTCAGTATGGTTCTCATGGCAGAAAAAGTTAAGCGTCTTTGCCCCTTTAATGTAGTCGCCAACAAACATTTCTGAAGAAAACAGTGCTAAATTCTATGGTGTTGAAGAGCCCTGGATTTTGTGCCCCAAGGTGGAATCTCAGAGTCCGCCTTGCTGACCTCCCCCTACCCCTCCACCTCATCACATCCTGATGATTCCGTCTGAGCTGTGCCTCCTCTTTTGAGCTCCAACGCCACGGCCTTGCAGATGCTCATGATGTCACCTGGGTTATTTCTCCAACTTCCTCCTTGGCTCTGTCTTCAGTTACTGGGCCCTTCTGTTCATCCTCCGTGTCACTCCCATCACAATCATTGTAAAACTCCCAAGTGTTTGTGGCATGTCCTGCCTGAAGTCCTCTGCCATTCCCTGACGTCCTGAATCCAGGCTGCCTCTCAGTCTCCCCTTCATGTGGCGTCCCCTTCAGCTCCTCTCCCCACGTTCACCCTGAGCTTCCAGCCACACGGGGTCCTGACGTTCACTGAGTAGGACGGGCCTCTCCGTGGTTGCCTCAGGACTTGCCGCTCTCTGCCTGAGACGGGCTTCCCCTCCCTCCTGGAAGGCACACTTCTGCTCATCCGCAAGCCAGCCCATGTCACCTTCTAGAAGAAGTTCCCCTCACACTCCTCCATCTCACCGCTTTCTGTGCTGCGAGCATGTCCTGTATTGTCACCCTAACCGACCATGTGCTCATGGGGTGGAGACCATGTCTGCCCTTCTTTGCTCCATGTTTGGGACAGGCTTCAGCACAAAGCAGGGTGCTGCCAAGGGTTTTGTTTCTAATTCTCCTTCTACTAATTACTAGCTGTGCAGCCCGGGGCAAATGAACCTTTTTGAACTTCATTTTCCTACTGGAGGGATACGAATTCTCCTCAGATTTATTAGGAAGATTAAGTATGATAATGCGTGCAGAACACAGCCCTTAACTGTTAAGAGGAGGAGGAAGGGGAGGAGAAGGAGGGGGGAGCGGCTCCCACTGCCACTATTGATGATAAAGGAAGAGAGACCACTGTCCCGTCCTTTTTTTCGGGCTCACATGGTGGTTCATCCTCTCTACTCACTAGGTAGCTGTGTGTGCGTTAGGTTTGCAGCTAGCAGGACGACGGCCACGTTGCTTCCACACGGGACCTGACGGGAAGGAGTCCATGGTATAGGAAAGAAGATTGGAGACAAAGGTCCCCGAGCTTTGCTAGGTGGAATCTCTACAAAGGCAGATAGTGTGAACCAATAGCAGTTGTGTTCTAGATAAAGCACTGTGCCTCGAAGTCAGGAAACTTGGACTCAGTGTTCTTTGGGGCAAGTCACTTGTCCTCTCTGGGCCTCACTCTCTTCGCCTGGAGGGGGGTTAACTAATCTCACAGGCCTCTTGTGAGGATTGAATGGGACACTGTGGCTGGAAGCGCTTTGTTGACCGAAAACACAAGCCACAGGAGGCTGGGTTATTGTCCCAGGACGGTCAAGGGGAGCCCCTGGCTCAGGGAAGGTTTAGAGCTGGCAGCGGGAGAGGAGGCCAAAAAGGGAACGTGAGCTCTGGCCTCAGAGGACAGGAGGAGGATGTCGGAGAAGACGGGACACAGAGGAGACCTGCAAGGTGGCGGAGGACGACGGAGACCACTCCCCGGGCCCTGAACTGGGGCCTGTTTCCCACCTTAGTGGAGAGTGGACTTACGTGTTGGGTGGGATTAAATTCTACCTTGGGGCCATGAGGGAAAAACCAGGAATCACTCTTATCCTCTAAATGCCCCGGAAAGTGTGGTATCTATGGTTTTGTAACTCACCCCATACCGGCAGTTTTGATCATATGATAGTTTGAAGCCACTATGCAGATGTCTAAGTGTTCAGATCTTCCTCCCTTAAGATAATTATCAAAGCCATCCAGCGAGCAGAGGATGGAGGGTTCTGGAACGTTCCTGTTTGCCTGCACAGTTTATTCTGTTTGTATTGTTAACCTGCTCTAGTCTGATACTTGTTATTGGGTGGGTGAGTTGTTGTGAGGAATAGACAGAATAACATACACGGAAGCATTCAGCACAGAACAGTGTGCAGTACGTGGCCGTGACGGGAATGAAAACCTGCTTCCCTGCAAGGACAAACACGGAGAACTTTGAAAAGCGGTTTCCTGTCCTCCCCCCAAGCTGGCATTTCCTGTGCTGGCCCTCGACCCAGCAGTCACTCTGTTGACCCTGGGCCTCGGTCCCCTCCCATCCCACGCAGGGCGTGCATCTGCCAGGCCCTCCCGCTGGCACAGATGAGACCGCCGGACGGCCTTGGAGGGTAACTTGGCATCTGCCATGTTTCCTTTCACCCTCCTTTGTTTTGGATGTAGATTTGTTCTCACTGATGTTCAGTTTATCAAGGGCAGCATCCATCATGTAACAGAACAGATAGAGAACCCGTTCGGTACAGCACTGAGGCCATTGGTGGGAATAATAGGATAAGGGTCCTTGAAAGAACACGTAGTCTGTAGCTCCACAGACACAGCCGCAGGTGGGAGAGAGTGAGCTATCGGGAGGACCTCAGGGGACTGCTCAGCCTCTGGTGTCTGAATTCTGTGCTCACGGCAGTGGAACCCCAACAGTCCTCTGTGAGGTGAGAGCCCTTCCACAGCCAACTCAGTAGCTCTGGGACTCGCCACCTGAGATGTGAAGATGTTAGAGGCCTCGTACCCCTGTTTAACTGCAGAGCAGCGTGGGGGTGATATTTGTTGTGAACAAACTGAGACCTCGCATGATAACAGAACTGGTACCCTCTAAAGACTGTTCTTGGGGTTCTTTAGACTCACTATATATCAATACATAGGGTTTGAGCTAATAAAGTGGTGTCCTATAGACTTTTTAGGCATGGACCCATCCTCCACGTGCAGGAGGACCCAAAGACCATATTTCCTGACCCCCTGGGTGTGTCTGTCACTGCGCCAGGCAGAGGGGCTGTGACGGGAACAACACAGAAGCGGCCCCAGCCCCCTGGAGGCTGGAGTCCGGTGCAGCACCCTCTCATGGGCTGTCTGCGGGATGAAACGCCTATGACCGAGGCGCCAAGCACACTCACCGACAGCCACACATAGCCGCTGAGCACTTGAAATATGGCTAGCGTGACTGAGGAATTTTCACCTTTATTCATTTAAATGGACTGAGGTTTAAAGAACCACGTGTGGCTCCCGGCTGCTGGATTGGACGGTGCAGGCCGGGGGCAGAAGCGCGCGTGATGCAACAAGACAGAGATTGGAGGCCAGAAGCCACGAGTCTGAGCCCTGGTCTGCCCCTGGCTGGCTGTGTGGCTCTCAGCAAGCCAGCCTTACACCTGCCTTGGCTCGGACTGACTGCCTCCTGAAGCTGCCGTGGAGATTAAATTACAAAGTTGTAAAACTCAAAAGGTTCTTCATAAACTACAAAGCCCCATGAAAACATCAAGGGTTATTTTAATGAGGTCTATCATCATTAACTCTCGGGAAGAACCTGCAGGGTTTTCCACATCCTCTTCCATAGATGTGCTTTCTGTAAGGGGTTGTTTTGTTGTACCCTGCGGGCCGTCACTGACAGCCTTTGCATTCTCTCGGTGGGCTGCCATCCTCGGTTTCTAGTACGAGATTTGCAGTGGGGCCACTACTTTCTGTTTGTGAACATGTTTAGTTGCCTCCTGTTGCTGCTAATAAATGTTTGCGTGTGAGGGGTGGCGCCACGTATCTCCTTCCCTCCGGCCAGCCAGGGCGCCCAGTTTCAGTTATTTCCCCTGGCGTCTGTCAACGAGCAGTTAGAGGCGAGACCTTGTGCAACCTCCCTCCGCTGCACAACTCCGGCCCCACCTCAAAGGGGCAGCATGCCTGAGACTTGCACACGGAGGTGACAGATATGTGCCGTGTCTCCCCTCGGCTGCTGATCTGCCTGTGCCCGTGGTGACACCTGGGCCTTGCAGGGTGTGTCTTACCCGTTGTGGAAGGGGTAGGCCCAGGTGCCATTGACCGTGAAACATTTAGGACCCTTGTTGATGGAGATGGCCGAGATGATAAACGAGTATCCAGCACCCAAGAATCCGATCGCAGCGAATATTGTGGAGGTGAACATCTGGAAGAGAAGAAGAGACAGCCAGGTTCCTCAGTGGCCCAGAGGTCACAGAGGGCGCACCTACGCAGCCTGTGGTCGCGCCTGCAGACTGCAGGGAGCGACCGCGTAGGAGCCGATCTTTACAGTGGGGGGGCCTGTGGGGTCTCCCAGAAGGAGTTTGGCGTCTGGTGTCCCCTTCTGCACCCGCAGCCCCATAGCTTTTTCATTGATGACTGAAGTGCTAGCTGTGGTTTGATTTCTTTGAGCCATGGTTTTAACCTCATTCAGGAGAGAATCTCCTTCCTATGAAGGGCTAACGTGGAAGGCCAGGCTATTACAGAATCAAAGAATCTTAGAATTGGAAGCGATCCTAAAAGCGTTCTGGTCCAGTCATCTCCCAGAGGCTACCTCACTGTGGGTCTCAGGTGGGAGGCGGGTTCTGCTGATGAGAAAGGGGAGAAGTCTAGAACTTCTCATTGGTCCTGGTTACATTCCTTGAGGTAAAAAAGCTTAAGTCCAACATCTTTTCCATGTGGTAGCAGACTTTAAAATATCTGAAGATATTTTATATCTTACATAAAAATATTTTATATTTTACATCTCTCCACCCCTTCCGCCCTCTGAAAGGTTTCTCCTCTTCAGGTTACATAGGCCCAACAATTTCAGTTCTTTTTAAATTTTTTTTTTTCCTGAGGAAGATTAGCCCTGAACTGACATCCATGCCAAGCTTCCCCCATTTCATAGGTGGGTTGCCACCATAGCGCAGCTGATAAGTGGTGTAGGTCCGTGCCCAGGATCTGAATCCTTGAACCCTGGGCCGCCAAAGTGGAGGGCACTGAACTTAGCCACTATGCCACGGGGCTGGCCTCTTAATTTTTTTTTTTTTTGAGGAAGATTGGCCCTGAGCTAACATCTGTTGCCAATCTTCCTCTTTTTGCTTGAGGAAGATTGTCGCTGAGCTAACATCTGTGCCAGTCTTTCTCAACTTTGTATGTGGGACGCTGCCACAGCATGGCTTGATGAGTGGTGTGCAGGTCAAAGCTCAGGATCTGAACCTGCAAACCCTGAGCTGCCGAAGCAGAGTGCATGAACTTAACCACTACACCACCGGGCTGGCCCTCGAAGATTTTTATATGACAGAGATTAATTAGTGAAAAATAGATTGTATGAACATCTTTCTTATTTTGAATTATAAAATCAAAATAGAATTGTAGAATCTGAAAGGCAGACACAATCCTGGAGCCCATCCAGGCTAACGCCCTCTTATGGGTGAAAAAACTAGGCCCACAGATGCATCATCCATTCTAAGCAGTAATTGCAGAGTAGCATGGAAGCATTAATAATTTTGGATGGAAATAGGGGTGGAAAAGTTATCACCTCTCTTACTTTGGTGACATGACGGTGTAACGCACAGCACAGGAGTTTGAAAGTCAGCAGATGCAGGCTCAGCCTCATCTTTGCTACTTTTCTCTGTGTGATGACTGCATAACGAGCGTACCCTCAGAGTCTTAGTTTTCTCGTCCATAGAGGGGCAGGATGAAGCCCCCCTACAAGGTCCGTCGTAAAACTAGACGTGACAAACTAAGGCAAACGTTGTGCAGGCCCCCTTTCCTCTTCCTGTGTTACTGCCAATCTGATACAGGAGATGTTTGGGAGGAGAGGACCTGACCGTGCCCGGGATCGGGGTCTCTGTGATACTGGAGTTCCACTTTAGCTGGTATTTATTTTCCTATCATACATAAATGTATTTTGGGGGCAGCTTTCCGAGACTGAGCTCTGGCCCCACGTGCCGCATGGAGCCTTGTCTGACTTTCCAGGCAGAACCGACCGTTCCCTCCTCCTGTATAAACTGCTGTTACAGCACAGTGCTTGTGACACATTAATGCTCCACGTGTTGTCTGTCTTCCCCAACCAGAGCCCCAGCTCCTTGAAGCGTGGACAGTGAGTTATCTGAAGACCGGACGTTGCTCCACCCCTACCACCATCTGTACGGCTTTCCTTCTTCCTAGTTTCTTAAAGGCACCACATAACTACTTGTTGGCTGAAGATTAAGGTTTTATATTAATCATTATTTATATTTCGCCCCTTAATTCTTATGTCTAGGTTATCCTAAATCCATGATCACCATCAAGAATATGTATAAATATAATCTAGGTCACAAGTAGATGAAAATTTTGGTCAATTTATCACATTAGAACAGGCAATCTGTTTTCCAAAGGATGTTTTGTTGAATAATTTCATAAATTGCTGAATTACATAAAGTTAAATAGGTTTTATTCCTGTTGTACTTCTAAGAATCTTTGTGATACGCTCATGTGTGTGAACCTCCAAGAAGCAGACACACTCTGTATGCTGGAACATTGGGAAAATGATCAGCTCTCGAATCGTCCCTCAGAAGCGCGGGAACTGCCTTGGAGTTGAGCCCTTAGTCCATGTGCCGGGAAATCAGGCTCTTCTCAGATACTTTATGTGAACAGCCAGGTACTGCGTGGGGAAGACATTAGTCAGAAACAACTCATGTTAGATGACAGAATTGTTTAAGGATTTGTTTCATAACACAGATTTATTAATAATTCTAGGAAAGTTGACCTCACAATTCCTAGTTCTGGACATTATAGGTAACACGCCTTTTAAATGGCATCCTACAATGAGCACACTCAGTGTTCGCAACTGTGAGGAGCGTTAGCACATACCTGCAAGGGGCATGTTTTACCGCCTTTGTCTTAGGTAAATGGATATTCGTGACTAAGGGTGAAATTTCAACTGACTGCACCATACATGGATACAAAAATGTCTGTACAAACTGAAATGGAAGAGAAGATGGGCTGTGGGAAACTTGTGTGGCTCAAAAGGTGTCGTTAGTAGCAGCAAAGACATTGATGTCAAAGACGCACGAATATATTTAAAAATAAATGAGTGGGGAGGAGTAATATTTCAAAATAAGTGTATTAAAATGATTTTATATTCTTTTCTACAGCATGTGATTTTAAATATGCATATGTATTAATGTTAGTCAAGGGCTTTTTTTGAAACTTCTTTATGGGAAATAAGAGATTGTTTTAGATTAAGTATTGCCTTATATTTGAGTATATATGGTAATTTGCAGAGTTGTCCAATCTCAGGAACCTGTAACTTTTTTCTGTGAGTTCTTGCAAGAACACACTTTGGGAAATGCTGCTCCGATTAAGCGAGAGCTTATCTAGCTAGTTTGCAGTCTCTGAGCCCCCCTCCACACACACACTGCAGCCGAACTGCTGTTCAGTTGGACGCAGCTAGTACAACTGGGTGCGGCCCCCATGTCCCAGCACAGCCATGGAAAGCTCACTCTCACAGGGGTTTCTTCTGATGTTGCCTCTCATCCTTTCAGCGGGAGGTTCTGAGCGGGCTGGAAACATTTTTGACATGGGGTCCTTTGTGATGGATTGGGTTGTTTCAATGAAAAACAGATTCTATGAAGGAAGGGTCCGTCACATCTTAAAACTGGTTAAAAGTCTTCAAAAGCCAGAATTTCCACTAAATAAATGGTTACATATTCTTACAGTTATATTTTTGTTAAAAAAAAATCTCAAAAACCATGGAATGCAATCACCTCACTTTCTAGCTAATAAAAATAGCTCCAAACCATGAAAGCCTTGGATGCATTATCTCATTTAATCCTCTCAACAGAGGTGAGTGTTATTATCTACATATCCAGACAGGAAACTAAGACTACTGGAAATTAAGATAATTTCTCTAAGTCAAACACAGAGTAAAGTGTTAGGACTGGGGTCAGTCCATGGCCACTTGCTGCCAAATCTCGTGCTCTTGTGACTTTCTCAAGTCACACATCTAGGAGGTGGCTGGGCTAGGTTAAGAACCAGGGTCTCCTCCCCGCCAAGTCCAGGGTCCTGTACCTTCCACCCCTTCAAATACACACACACGGCGTGTATTTCAAATACACAGTGACACACACATAAATATGCAGTGACACACATAAATACACAGTGACACACACTGTGTGTATTTCAAATACACAGTGACACACACATAAATACACGTTGACACACACTGTGTGTATTTCAAATACACAGTGACACGGTGCCACTACCACCAGATACTCCGTTATGTGCGAGTTTCCTTGTGAATGGCATTGGTTCTCTCACAGAAATAAAACAACATATAAGGGAAAAATATCTTTTTGCTTACTTGACTTTTGTCTTGAGTTCTAATTATTAGTCAGGAATCATTAAACTACTGATTAAGAACAAAAGAGTATCTGAAATTACTATAATGGAAAAGAAAGACTGCGTTTTCAGGAAGGCAGTTTGGAAGTCTGAGGAAACCTGGGTTCCAGCCCCCCAGCATCACCAACCCCCACCTGTCTAGCCTTGGCTTCCTGTGGTGAAGAGAAGAAAGGGGCGTGTGGTTCTAGAAGGTCCCTTCAGCTAAAATCACCCAGGATTTCACCAACCGCTGGGGGGCAGTGAGAGCAGAAATCTGACTCGTGCATTCCCGCTATGTGAGGCGAGTAAAGGATTGTAGATACCACGCCTGGAACAATTTAGCAGGCAAATATTTAAAGACACAAAAAATGAGTACAAATGAAACATTGCTCACTTTAGGCAAGTCTGAGCAAATGAAAAACCAGGTCACATAAAGTATCTATGAGACGATTTTTCCCGTTACAAACAATCCTCTAGACCAGCCCTGTCCAAGGGAATTATAATGCAAGCCACAGATGGAATTTAAAGTTTTCTGGTAACCACCATTAAAAGAGTAAGAAACAAAAACAGGTGAGATTAATTTTAGTAATATATTTTCTTTAGCTCAACATATCCAAAATATTATCATTTCAATATATAATCAACATAAAAACTACAGATGAGATATTTTACATTCTTCTTTCTGTACTGGTTCTTTGAAATCTGGTATTTTATACATATGGTACACCTCAATTTAGATTTGCCACATCCCTCGTGCTCAACGGTCACATGTGGATAGTGGCTGCTGTGTTGGACAGCATAGTCTAGAACATTTAAAAA